AACTTGTCTTTTGAATTTTCTACCTGCAATCCCGTTTTCAGCAGCAGGTGCGCCGCATGTGGAGCAGGCTTGTTAATGACGTGCCATATTGAAACCAACATGGTATCGAATGACATCTGCACTAGTGTGATCACTGCTCACTGTTGCTTTACCTGGTCCATGCTTGTAAGATATGCACCGTGTCCTCGTCCTGTAACATAATACCAGACAACATCTCTTTCTGTGTTTCTTGCAAAATGCTAAAATGGGTCGCCAAATATATCTGGGCGGTCCTCCCAAGTAAAGTCAATATGCAGGGAACACTGTATGCAGTGTATTGTAATTGCTGTTTGTCTTTATGCAGAGCTCCCCTGTGCTCCTGAAAACAGAAAATGCTGAGATGTCATAGTGTGTGTGTGTGTGTGTGTGTCTCCTGTAGGCAATATCTACAACATCCCAGTGTGTCTGTGGTTGCTAGACACATATCCCTACAACCCTCCCATATGCTTTGTCAAACCTACCAGTGCCATGATGATTAAAACTGGCAAGCACATCGATGCCAACGGCAAGATCTACCTGCCTTATCTACATGAGTGGAAGCATGTAAGTGTGAGGTCTTCACACACTATTCTGTTTTTATGTATAGACTGTTTATTTAGGCAATGACACTAACTGGAATTTGTAAAATGTAAAAAAACATAGATTGAAAATGGATAATAAGAAAAGCAATACAAAAGCATCACGTAATGTTGTAGAAGATCTGAGGTTTACCTGCAGCAGTGACATTTTTGAGTGGCTCTAACATACAACACTATTTGCAAGCGTAACTGTAGCTCTTGGAATATTTAGATATGTCTATGACTACCAGTCAGTCAGCAAAAAATGGCATGGAGGGCCATAAAGGTAACTGTGGCTTTAGATAGTATTTGAACATTGACTTGCCTTTTGGTCATTTTAAATAATATTCTGCATTAGTTGTCTTGGTTAATAAAACTTTCCCTTGACTTGTATGTCTTACAGCCTCAGTCAGACCTGTATGGTCTGATTCAGGTGATGATTGTGGTGTTTGGAGAGGAGCCTCCTGTGTTTTCCCGCCCCACCACACAAGCCCCCTATCAAGCCTTCCAAGCAGCTGGACCTCCTAACCGTGAGTGAAATAAATTTTTGTTGCAAATAAACTGGGTAATCTACGTGGCTATGGTGTTGTCTGCAAGTGTAAGTAGAAAAGAATTACAAAGTGAGATTGTGCCAGAATAGAAGCATTTGCATATGCCATTTTTCCATTACCAGTACCAGCTCAACCCTCCTAGACTTGGTTTTGGCCTGCCATCCTCCGATTTCCTACCCCTGTAGCTGGTCATCATAGCAACTCCACACACAACTGCTGCGATGTAATGTTCAATTCGACACACACACCAGCGACCCACACAGAGCTGTGTCTTGATTTAAGTTAAAACGTTTCAATTCAATTCAATTCAATTTTATTTATATAGCGCCAAATCACAACAACAGTTATCTCACAGCGCTTTTCATAAAAGAGCAGGTCTAGACCGTACTCTGTGATGATATTTACAGAAGCCCAACAGTTCCCACCAAGAGCAACATTACTCAGAATATAAAGACAGATAAGCGGTATGAAAACCTTACAGCTGTGTTTTCCTCTGCCGTTGTTGCTGCAGCGGTCTGTGTGACTGTGGGACCTGAGTGCTCTGTGAACGGGCAGCTGGCCGGCCTCGCAGGCTCCTCCGCAGGCTTCCCCCGCCGCCACTTGTGGAGCTCCTCAACTCCGAAAACTTTTTTGTTCCGCCATCACTTTTTGTGAAACTGTCAATATTCAAAATATACACAGTTGATTTCTCACCTCAGAACTTCTTATAAGTGGATTTAGTGATGAAATAACGTATGAAAATTGTAAAATATAAAACTTGTTTGGCGCGCGCAATGATGATGCAGTGAATAATGACGATTCTCTCTGACCAATCAGTAGTCTGCTGCTTCACATCACATTTTAGTATCGCCTCAGCTCACTTAGAACCTCGACGGAGGTGATACGAAAAAAGTACCTGGTAGCAGGTACAGGTACAACTTTTCCACCATGGAAAACCAAAAAAGACGAGTAAAGTCGAGGCGAGTCGAGCTGGTACCATGCAGTGGAAAAGGGGCTATGTGCCTTGAAAAGTGTTTCTAATATTTTGGCCGCCCCATTTATATATCAGTGTTGGGAGACTAAATATTAGAAACACCTCTTAAAAAAAACCAACACCATTCATAAGCACAGCAAGCTACAGCTTCCAAAATATCCATAAAGTTAATTACACCTAAGAAACATTATAGCCTTCATTAAGGGTAGGCTTAATTGCAGGGCTTAAACTGATTTAGATTTAGCTGAGTGTACCTAATAAACTGGCAACTGAGTGTAATTTCCAATACATTGAAAACCTTTTCTGAATTGATTTGTTTTTCTTCAAAGTGATGTTTTACAATGTTGTTGCCATAAGTTGACTGTTTGCCTTAAAACATAACAAAATCAACTTAATGTAACTGAACGTAATTGTATCTTCTGACTTTATAGTGAATGTTGAACAGGTATGTTACCTGTTTGGGGTTTGCTAATACTGTAGCTTATCATTTAAAATTTTCGAAATTAAAGGTTAATATTGTAATGTTCAAAACACCAGGTTTAGCAAAGGCATACATGAGCTCATGTGTATGCATTTGCCCTTTTAAGTAATAGAAAGTTTTTTTATTAAATTGATTATTTTCATTTTACTTAAGAAGTGGTGTTAGTGATGTTTTGTGTGATAGATTACTTACCGATAGTATTTTTTATTGAAAATGTTTTCAAGTACGTCATCCAGGTACTGTTTTTTACATATTGTCAGGGAACACAGCATTTTCATACTGTGACAGTGGTTCAGCTCTTTTAGGTTAATGGTTTAGGTTAATGTTTTTGCATGTATACTGGTACACATGCCTTATTATTGCATCATGTTTAAAGCGATGCATTTATTTCCTTAAGCACCAGATGGAGCTCATATACCACCATAGCTCACCATGGAAAAATGAAAGTGAATGTGTCCCTGAGAACGAGAGAGAGAAATGTTTTAACAGTTTACGTACATGTCCTGATTGTTCAACTATCTCTGTACCTCAGCTTCCTACATGCCTGGTATGCCTGCGGTCTCACCCTACAGCCCAAATCCGAACCAGGGGTAAGATGTTTCTCAAGCAGTTCTCAACCGTCTCCCCGACTTCACACACTGTATTTCCCAACAAACCTGTCTTGGCAATGTTTTTGGGGTTCCTTCAGCAGCGTATCACACAGAAGTATATTATTAAAACGCTGTACAACTGGTTCAGTTACATTTATAGCTAAATGTTACGGACATTTAAAAAGGGGGGAATTGTAAAGCATTAGCTCTTTGTTATTTGCAGAGGCTATCCAGCATACCAGTACCCGGGGGGCAACTCTTACCCTGCCACTGCTGGACCTGCTCATTATCCCACCCAGACTCCAGTTGCCACAGTGGGTATGTATCACATTTAGTATCTGGGGGGCTTTATTTTTCTTTATCATCAGTACATTTGAATGTTCTCTTAGAAATTGTTATTGTTTTCACTTCTCCACACACATTTGTCTTTTTTTGTCTTAATATATAACAGAATGATTCAATACTTAGCAAAAGCTTAATTCACCCCTCAAATAACCAATACATTTCCTGCTTTCCAACGTCTTCAGCTAAACCTGAATCAAGACATTTGACCTTTTGACTCAAACTCTCTCACCCTCTGTGTGACTTCGGTGGCGTGCTGAGCCCCCAGCAAAAGGTCATTAGTGTAACTAGAGGAGGGAGCATTAAAGGCCAAAGAGCGCTATCTTTAGGATCGGAACAGTAACTCCACACAAAGACAAAACTATCAGGGGACCCATCGGCTGTCCCAACATCAGTTTGCACCAGTGAAATGCTGGTCAAGGACCAGAGTACAGGAGGAGCTTAAGCTGTCTCCTATAATTAGCAAAGCAGAAGAAATGAGTTTGCCTGTAGACTACTCAGATCTCAAGGCTGAATCAACTCTGACATTTGTAGTGCTGACTTGACTGCACATGAGTTGGTCTTGACTCTCTAGACATCCATCGGGAGTGGTGGTAACGAACTACGTTTACTAGTACATTTACAAGTATTGTGCTTAGGTACAATTCTGATATACTTGTACTATACTTGAGTAATTCCCTTTTCTGCTACTTTACACTCCTACTTCACTATAATTCAGAGGGTAGTATTTTACATATTACTTTACTACATTTGATCATTTTAGTTTTTACATAAAAACATAATACACTTACTACTGTACTACTAAACTACCTAGTAGTATACAAATATCTAAAATTGGCTCGGCACATTGACAAACTATAACATTAAAATACTTTTACATGTATATTTTAGTGAAATAAGAAGAATATTATTATATACTATAATAACACTTTTTTAAAGGAGCCCTTCTGTAGATAATAACTTATTTTACTTAAGTAACATTTTGAATTCAGGACTTCAAGGACTAGTAATGGTGTATTTTTAGACTGTGGAATTTATACTCACTTAGGTATGATCTGAGCCACCCCTGCACACTAACTCAGTCCTCATGAAGTCTGTTAAGACTGGGGGCCAATCTGCAGGGTCATGTGGTGGAGCAGTAACTGTTCCATTAGGGTCTAAGCTGCTTGTATCTGTTGCTGGCTGTACATCTCTGGCTGCGCTCGTACTGGCTGAGGCTGCCAGGGTTTCACCTGTCTGTGGGACCTCCTAAAGACATCTGTACTGGGTCTGGTTGAGTGTCTGGAGTCTGTTCCTGTACTGTACATCTACTCTACTGACAAACTAAAGCATAGCCCCTGTAAATTATAGATCATTTCTATAAATTAATGTAGTCAGCTGCATCAGGCCCATTCAAACTGGCTCCCCCAGGTTTCATCCAATACATTTTCAAATGTAAAACACTATTTATAAAATGACTTTCTGAATATGTGATGCTTATTATTTACTGAGAAGGACATCCATATTGCCCAGTCAGCCATGCTAATCAACATTTTAATAGTCAATGTGAATCCACTGCTAACGTCGTCCTGGGGACGATAGAAAATGTCTTTGGGACGAAGAGAAATATTCTGTAGGACAAAAGGGATTGTAACATTAGACCTATGTGTTTATTTATTATGATCACTTAGCAAATGAGAAACTGAACCGACTGAGCGCTGACTACAACGGAGGCCATCTTCTCACGCAGTTACTACAGTCACGCCGGACTCACACAGGAGGCTGGCTGCTCACCTGTTCCCGCGGTACAGGTCTATCTGTCCTCTCAGTCACAAATGGCTTGTTGACCTCTCAATCGCGCTGTGTAGGCCAGCGTTAAGTGTCACACATCAATCTTGTCACGCAGTGAAAAACAAATCAATATTCTGATAACGTCGGCTCGCGGCGAGAATCATCTCCACCCAGTTGATGAAACTCGGCATACGGCGTGATCGTAAAGGAACCAGCTGACTTGCTGGTAGAGTTTTGCTTTATAAACATCTAAAACCTGAAGCACAATCTGGCTCTATTTGGGACTGCGAGCTGCACTTTATTGGAGCTGCAGAAGATAACATGAGGATTTGCGCTGAGATGTCTGCCTGATTGGCAGTAATGGTTTCAGTTTCTACCTCTGAAGTGCAGTGCACTTGTCTCATTCAGTACAGTCTGATGGGGAGCACAGCAGAGTATAGGTCCGGTAGACTTTTAAAAAAAGATTATGAATTCTCATTAAATAATGATGTTAGTCTCATAATATTACGATTTTCTTCTGGACATTTCAGAGAACAAAGCTATGTGAGGTTCTGAATGTGCCGAAAGTTTTGAACATGAGCAGAAAAGCTGCTGAATCAAAATCCAGGTGTTTATCACTGAATTGAAATTAAATAATTTATCATCAAGGTAAAAAGGTACCCCAACAGATAACTCTTCATTTTTGTTTATAAATCTTTTTGTTTGAATTAAGCAAAATAAATATTATTTATTTGATCAATTTATAATCATTTATTATGTCATTAACAACTATTGAGGATAATAAAGTAAAGAAACAACATTTTGATTTTGGGATGCTTTACGTTAACTTCATGACGGTCCAAATTGTTTTGCAGGACGGTTCTCTTTCAGGTCAGAAAAGTTAGTCTGGAGCCCTGCCATCATGCATTAGTCCAGAGTTGTAACTAAACGTCACTGTCTTGTTTTTAAATGATGTATGAGGAGTGCCATGATCACATCCTGTCTGGACTGGTCCCACAGATGTTTCATGCGGGAATGCGCAAGTTTACTTTCGTATACACACATATGAACGCATTTCCACGTGCAATCGTCATCTTTTTCCGAGCTACAGTTTATAAACAACGTGGCACGTCTGCGTTTATCAAACGTAATAAAGAGTTGTCTTTCACTAACATTGTTCAGACACAGTCTGGCAAGCTACCAAGACACAGACAGACAAGAGCGGTGCTGCTCAGCTGCACATTAGGCTAATTGTGATCTACATCAGACTATGAGAGGAGAGAACACGTGTTTACCTGACTGCTGTTCCTGCACTTCACTGTCATTGAGTTTATTTTTCCTCTTCTCATGCCTAGAAGGATAGTCCCTCTTCATCCTCTCATCAAAGTTTTAAACATTCGTGTTCACCTTTGACAGGAAAGAGAGGCGGGGCCGTCCAGCGCTGGATTATCACTGCGTATGCCAGTGTCGCATCAGCTGGCTTAAGTTGATTCGCGCTGAGTCGGCTTTACCACTTTTACTGTACATTTGTTTTTCAGTGCTGCTTCACTCATGTGCGCTGCAAAGGCTACTAATACTGATGTAACGAGGTCTCGTGCAGAATGTAACAGAGTAAAAAGTTGATATTTGGCTTAAAAAGATGCAAGAGCTTAAAAATTAAGTACAGTAACGAAGTATTTGTACTTCTTTACATTCCACCACTACAACATCATAACCTAAATTGGGAGAACAAACCTGTGTCCCTCCATAAACTGTGTCAACCCAGAGACGGTTTTCATGCATTATGGGGAAGATTTCTTGAAATGCCAGAACATTTATTTAATGTTTATTCAATTGAAGACTTAATTTCCTGCATTCTGGTGAAAATTTCTGCCTCAGTTTATGGTGGAAAAGTCTAATAATTTATGTAAAGGCAAACACAGGTGACAAATCAAAATATAAAAAATTAATAGAATATATGCAGTGACGCTTTTCAGGCATTCTGTAGCTGTTGCTTTTAAATAAACTTTCTTCTGTAGATCAACTTTTCTAATTTAATAACATCTCTGCAGAGTCAGCACATATGCGGGCATGATTTAGTCCTCCCTCCGCTTTTGAGTCTTTTGTTTGGGTCTGTGCATGTGGCACCTTTTCAACTCAAATAAGTTCATTTTAATTCAAGTTATAAATTCCTGAACTTTAAGAGCTGCTGTGTTTCAACAGGATTTCTGCTCATGTTTTTCATGTCAAGAAAAACGTAATATGACGAGACTGACATCATCATTTAATTAGGATTCATATGTCCTATACTCTGCTGTGCATTACTTTATTTCTCTGCTAGAATGATCCCCTTTAGACCATTTGACCGACACAGTTTGGGACTGCATGTTGCATGTGAAACTGAAACCAACTGGAAAACACTCACCACAAATCCACACACATAACTTGAGCAGCTCCGGTAAAGTGCAGCTCACAGTCCCAAACAGAGCAAGGCTGCGCCTCAGGTTTTAGATGTTTATATTGCAAAACTCTACACAACAACATGACTTTTCACAATGGACTGGACTCACAGCGGGTGGTGCACTTAATTACTATCATTGCATACCTCAGCGATTTTACAGGATATTGTTTGAATATTAAAAGTTTTGCCAGCTGCTGTTTTCTGTTTCTTCGGTTCACGGTCTCACATCTCTTCTGAAACTCTTCCTCTTAAGGCCCGAGCAGAGATGGCACCATTGGCGAGGACACCATCCGCGCGTCTCTGATTTCAGCTGTGAGTGACAAGCTTCGCTGGAGGATGAAGGAGGAGATGGACAGAGCTCAGGCAGAGTTGGATGCCCTGAAGCGAACAGAGGAAGACCTGAAGAAAGGACATCAGAAACTGGAGGAGATGGTCTCAAGACTGGATCAGGAAGTGGTGAGTGAGCCTGCTCTTTTTACATCTGTATTTTTTTTTTTCCTTCTCTCTCATATCGTTACTTTGCCATAATAACAAAAAGGATTTGGTTGTAATCATTGCGTTTCCACTAGAATGAGGTTGACAGGAATATCGAGCTGTTGAAGAGAAAGGACGAGGAGCTGAGTGAGGCCTTGGAGAAGATGGAGAACCAGTCAGAGAACAATGACATTGATGACGTCATTGTGCCCACAGCTCCGCTGTACAAACAGATCCTAAACCTGTATGCTGAAGAAAATGCAATTGAGGATACTATCTTCTACCTGGGAGAGGCTCTCCGCAGGGGCGTCATAGACCTGGAAGTTTTTCTCAAGGTGACCACATCATCACAGCTGCCACTAAGGCACAACATCATAATGTCTACATGGCCTGCAACGTGAAAGCGGCTCATTAGCAGAGCAGCAGCTTTAGTCTCAGTCTCAGGCAGTGTCTACTACACAGGATGCATTCAGGCACATTACTTAGTGTAGGTCACGCATTTTGACAGCGCTCAGATCCCAACACACAATCACTGTAATTATGTGCATAAAACAGAAGAAAATAGACTTGAAGCGTAAAAATATGCTTCGGGTCTTATTTAAACGCGCATGAAACGAGTAAAACACGCGGTGTTGCAGAGCATTTGTACACAGCATTATGGATTAAAATAGAAACGCTGAGTCAGAAGGATGAATGAAAGACGCGAAGGAAATGGCTCTTGTGTAGATATGCTTTAAGACACAGATATAAACACACTTGAGTCCTGTGTGATTTCAGCCTTATTGATTTCTCAATTCTCTTTTGTTACAGCATGTACGCCTTCTGTCCAGAAAGCAGTTCCAGCTTCGTGCCCTCATGCAGAAAGCCCGCAAGACTGCAGGCCTTAGTGATCTCTACTGACGCACACTGACTACCGGGAAACATTGATATGTTCGTGCTCCTTTACCCTCTTCTCTTCCTCCTCTGTTGTATTCCCTTTTTAATGTATTTTTTTAGTTCAAACAGCTGCCCTCTTTTTAATCTCTATAAAATCTGTTCTTGTGTGACAGAAATGTGAACAGCAACAACAGAGACTCCCTAAATATACAACATTTATGAAGAATCGGACTGTCTTGTTCAGCAGTGAAAACTGTGGCCACTGTTGTACTCTGACATTATTTGTATTTTGATCTGACCAAATACTTCTTTGAGATCATTTTGCAAGACATTACACAGTTACTGTTGTGCCCCAACATTAAATAAAAGCCACAGACTACATTGTGAACCATGTACAATATGGCATGTGCTTAACACACATGCCATATTGGTAACTACTAATATGGTCTACTCTAGTTTGTGGTTTGTATGTTGACCTGTATATGTTCATGCGCTCCAGGGTAGCCACAGGTTCTGTTAGCAGTCTCTTTGCCAGGCTAGTAAGCACAAATTGTTAGGGGCTAGTAGCGAGGGGCTTTAGAGAGAGCCATATGTCCACACACTTCATAATGAAAAGGTTAGGCTTTGATATAAAAACCCAGAGCAACCTTTCAGGAAGGACAGGGGGTTCAGCCTAAGGATTTAATGCTGTATGAGGTCTGGCTCATGTTCAGTAGCCATGGAGTCAAAGTGATCGCCTTTCATACAGTAGATTTGATGATGAACGTGGACCTGAATTGTGTTTTGTCAGTGTCTTGTTCGAGTCTGTTAATGAGCTGAATGAGCTTCCATGTCTCTTGTCCACACTATTCGTTTCTCCCTGCTCTGTGTGTCTCTTCCCAATGGTGTGAGTGAGGTTCTTTCATTTTATGTCAGCTGCTCAGGTCTGCCCTCCAGTCTGACTGCATTTAACCAGTCACTCTTGTACAGTGGTTGTTTCACTCTGTTTAAGGTGGATGACCTTCTAGAGAGGTTTTACAAAGGAAATTCTGTATTTCTTTCTTTACTTTTCCGTTTTCCTTATGCTGTCGACTCATTCTCAGTCCTGCTGAGAGATTTAGGTTTTCAGTAAACACAAGGAAAAAGTTGTGAATAAAGCCTAATAAAGGACTAGGGTACAAAACATAAAGAACTATACTAATCAAGAAGTTAACTTATGTAAAGTTTGCAAACAGGTCTCATTTAAATTAGCCTTTTACTAAATGCACTTTGAATTGTATGATAGAATATCTACTGTTATTTTTTCTTGTTTCCAATTGAACCATAGACCACCTGTTCTTTTATATCTGTAGATTTATGTAAATCAGTAGAAACAAAATAAATCTGATTGAACTGTTCATCTCTTTCTGGTCATTTAAGTATTCATTATGTAGTTTTCATAATTGTCGTACACCCGCACTCTAAAATCGCAGAAAATACTTTGTGAACTACTGTAATTGATAGTATTTTTGTTCTTGCTGACTAAACATTTTAAAATACTGGTATGTCAGCAGGTGCAGCAGTAGTTACCTAGGTGTACATGTTCGCCATGATATCACAGATATAGTGACCATATTTTGATCTCCTGCATAAAAATCTCTTGCCTGCCTCGTGTTGGCCCACAGCTGCCCTGTGAACACATAAACTGAAGCAAATTATAAATGCAACACGTTTGTTTTTGCCCCCATCCATCATGAGCTGAACTCAAAGATCTAAGGCTTTCTCTATGGACACAAAAGGCCTATCCACCTCACAGGTGTGGCATATCAAGATGCTGATCAGACAGAATGGGTATTGCACAGGTGTGCCTTAGGCTGGCCACAATAAGAGGCCACTCAAAAATGTGCAGTTCCATCACACAGCACAATGCCACACATGTTGCAAGTTTTGAGGGAGCGCGCAATTGGCATGCTGACTGCAGGAATATCCACCAGAGCTGTTGGCTGTGAATTGAATGTTCATTTCTCTACCATAAGCCGTCTCCAAAGGCCTTTCAGAGAATTTGGCAGTACACCCAACCGGCCTTACAAGCGCAGACCACGTGTAACCACACCAGATGCTAGATGCGTACCTCCACATCCAGCATCTTCACCTCCAAGATCGTCTGAGACCAGCCACCCGGACAGCTGCTGCAACAATCGGTTTGCATAACCAAAGAATTTCTGCAGTCAGGAACAATCTCAGGGAAGCTCATCTGCATGCTCGTTGTCCTAATCGGGATCTCGACCTGACTGCAGTTCATCGTCATAACTGACTTGAGTGGGCAAATGCTCACATTTGATGGCATCTGGCACTTTGGAGAGGTGTTCTCATCACAGATGAATCCAGGTTTTCACTTTATAGGGCACATTTTTGACTAGCCTTTTATTGTGGCCAGCCTAAGGCACACCTGTGCAATACCCATGCTGTCTGATCAGCATTTTGATATGCCACACCCACTAACAGATTTGTGAACAATATTTGAGAGAAATTGACCTTTTGTGTATATAGAGAAAGTCTTAAATCTTTGAGTTCAGCTAACGATCAATGGGGGATAAAACACAAGTGTTGCATTTATAATTTTGTTCAGTGTACAAACCAGTCATGTTGGATGACAAACACGATAGTAGAGACTTGTATCATTATCCTGGCAGATTTATTTGATGTTACGGCAAATAATAATCAATATCCAGCTGCCATGACAGATAACGTAACATTAATACATAAACAGATCTTAAAAGTATTAACAGTTTTAATACCATCGTTTTTCTCCTGATATCCTTTTTTTTTTTTTTTTTTTTCAGAGTCGGGCAGAGAAAAATAATACAGAATCCGTTGAAGGTATTTAGTGTGCCCACAAACACCTTCTTCATGATTGTTACCTTCTGTTATGATTCATAACCACAACCCTGGTCATGATTGTAGCTGACTATTTCCTATTGGCTCTCTGTTATATCTTTGCTAAGTTAAATTGTGTCAAGTTGCCTCAGTAGCAACCTCTTTTGAAACCTTGCATTTAAAAATAGTTTTTTCTGTCAATGCACTTGTGGTTAGGTGTTTGTCTTCAATGCCAACCAGCACACGTAGCATTGCTTTTCTCAAATGATAAGGTACTTTGGTATCAGTGGATTTTGGCCCAGTGATATATGCAGCAGTATTGTTATGACTGTGGGTGAATAGGAAGCTCTCCTCACAAAGAATGGAATGTCTCCATTATACTCCAAATAAAAAAAAAATAAAACAGAGACTACCAAGTGGAGGAAAAAAAAACTGGCAACAATCACAGAATAAATACAAACTACAAACATTGGAGTGTACAGATGCAGCAAACAAAGACGGTAACGTACAGTACATAGAATTTATATGCCACTATGAAAATGCTTTACTTTTCTTTTGTAGGCAGGACAACATATATAACCGCTCTCTCAAATGCTAAATGCATGAGTTGTGTTGAGAATCCAGTTATGGAGGGAGTGGGACGAGTGGGAGGAAGCAAAGGAAAATGACACCCATGTTTGACTATCTGAAGGTAAAAATCTAACTTCCACTGGTTTAGCTACAAACACTTGGCCTTTTTTTTTTTTTTTTAGATATTCAGATGTTTCATTCGGCTGTTGCCGTGAGGGATACAGGAGGTACAGTGGGAGGGGATCAAACACAGAGTATGGTTTTAGGAGTGGACTGGTGAATTCAAAGGAGCGCTCTTCACAGGGTGAGCTCCTTCTGTACACCCCACAGGGTCTCAGCACTCTTCACCAGCTGTTTCTGCTCTTCATCCTTCAGTGTCATGTGAATCACATCTGTCAGGCCGTTGTTTCCCAGGACACAAGGGATGCTCAGGAAGACCTCGTCCTTCACTCCATGCATACCCTGTCAGATGAAGGGAGCACCACAAGGTCAGCGGATCATTTCAGAATATTTGAAGATGTGTACAGAATGTTTGTGGTAATTAATCGATACAATGAATTTCATCATGTAGGATTTGCCAAAACGTGTATGGCTTGCTCCCAATCTCCTCACCTGGACCAGTGTGGACACAGGGTGCACTTTGTGCAGGTTCTTCAAGATGCTTTCCACCAGGTCAGCCACAGACATGCCAATGGCCCAGGAAGTGTAGCCCTTCAGTTTGATAACCTCGTAGGCCCTGCAGTGGACACATAAGGGAAACCATTTACAGTCAAGTGATGAGAAAATAAAGCGGTCAATCTGCTGTGATATTTGAGACTGTTTGCTCCCACTATTACATTTTCCTCTAATATCCCTAGTTTAATGCTGAACATTCATCTGTTTATCACCATGAAAGAAGCACAAATCTTGCATGTTCGTTAAATATCTAATGCTGTTTTGTGGGGGGAAGTTTATATTTATCTATGCCTGAGGTAAGCTCCCTGTGAGTCAACTGGCAGCACCAGCACCACTTTGGAGTTGGCTGTCACATAGTAGTCTGACAAATTGACAAAAGAGACATTCTGATGGAGCAACAGAATAATAGTTTCAGTAACAGTTGTTCAGTATGGGTCATGAGACACCAATTGTGTACATTTACCACTTTGTCACTCTTTTGAAAGCTTTTATTTCATACCTGAAACTTTTGCAAATATCTTTGATGAATCAACTATTGTGTTGTACATGGTTGACCTCCCTGAACACCTAGCTTTTGTGAGTTCAGTCAGGTTGACTGGCTGACAATGAAATAATGGTACAATAGCAAAGTTTACAGGGTTAACTGTTGCATCATGCTCTTTTAAAGGAATGACACACATTCATAATGCAGGTTCATAAACGGGTATAAGTAACTCATAAGTCATTAATTTAAGGCAAACCTGTCTTTACTCAGGAATAAGACCTGTAATTCATTAACGCACACTCAGGAGTGTAAGTGAGACCATGGGCACTAATGTGCAGTATTGTGTTACAGGCAGTAGCATAGCTTTTTTGTTTGCACTAGCTGCCAGGCTCTAGTGTGTACTGCTTGCCTTTTGGCTCACAGTACTGATCAAATTTCTCAACAGGGCTTGTCAGGGCCACTGGATTCAATTGTGCCTGTTGGGCTTTTGGAAGATTTATGTTAATAGGCTAAGGTGACTAGGCCATTAAACCCTAAAGATCAGTCTCAACAAAACATTATTTATTGCTCCCACCTCAGTGCTGGACAGATGGCCTGTAAGCACATGGCAGATTGCTCTGTAGATTAAGCTGTATGAGTGTGTGAGAGAAATGTGGTTTGCAGGGTAATTCAGGAAGACTTTTTGGCTCATCAGCAGATTACTGGAAAATCATTTGAACTCACCCATCAACCACCATCTTATGAACCTCCTTCCATTTCTCACTGTCACCCTCAGCCCCCATCTGTGGGTTGAGGCTCTGCAGAGAAACCCCAGCAACATTCACACCGCTCCACACAGGCACTATGAGAAACAGAAATATAATAGTGATAAATTAGTTCATCTTAAATACAAAGGGTATACAGAAAGGCAACCATGGCAACCTAAAGTTTGCCACGGACCAACAAACTGACACAGTGGAAGGCTGGCAGAGATTTTATTTTTAGTCAGAGCTGCATACCACTGGAGTCTCCATGCTCTCCAATGATCCAGCCATGGCAGCTGGAAGGGTGGAGGTGGAGCTTCTCTCCCATGAGGTGGCGGAAACGGGCAGAGTCCAGGTTGGTGCCAGAGCCAATGACGCGGTGACGAGGGAAACCACTCAGCTTCCAGGCCACGTAGGTCAGAATGTCCACTGAAAGTAAGGAATGAAAGGCGACGACTCTTAAAAATGATGATCCTTTGATCACTGCTGAATTATGTGTTAGATCATATTTTAGACATAGTTTTCTCTAGTACCCCCTCAACTCTATTTCATGCCACGCCACACCTTCTCTCCTCACATTTCCCTCCTCCCTCACTCATTCACACCCCCTGTCTGTCTAACCTGGGTTAGAAACCACCATCAGGATGCAGTTGGGGCTGTACTTGACGATGTTTGGGATAATGAACTTGAAGATGTTGACGTTGCGCTGCACCAGGTTAAGACGGCTCTCTCCCTCCTGCTGACGGGCACCAGCTGTCACCACCACCACTTTGGAGTTGGCTGTCACACTGTAGTCTGACAAATTGACAAAAGAGGTGATGTTCTGTACTGTTTTAGTAACGGTCATTTAATGCGGGTCAGGTGACATACCAGAACAAAACTAAATTTTTGAAGAGTCAGAGGTTGCAGTTATTTTTGTGTGTTCTCACCTTTGTCGCCCACAATCTTGTGTGTCTTGAGGAAGAGGGATCCATGCTGCAGGTCCATGACCTCACCCTTCAACTTGTCCTCCATCACGTCAACCAGGGCCAGCTCATCACACAAGTCCTAATTATATACATATATTAAGTCATCTTGACAATTTACTATATGCTTCATACAGTGTATCTTACAGCAAATCTATTACGTGGATAAAGCTACAGTGGGGCTTACTTAAAGTGGCTGTGTTGTTTCAAGTAAATAACATGAATACAGAAGTGAGGAACAACCTCATTCATCTCTGCCTTGCCTATTCAGCAGCGCTGTTAATTGTAAGACCCGTGATCTGGTTTCTCTTAGCATTTGTTGTTAAATTTTTAATTTCTACCAAGCATTAATGAAGTTGATTTCACTACAACAGCCCTCGGAGGATTCCATTTGTAATGGAACAATAGCAGTGCTATCCCAACATTCACATCTAAGCTGATACTTTTTCAAAGTTTATCTAAAGCCCCTTATAGCCACCCGTGAGTTCACTTTTGCTACTGTAATAACTGTACTTTCACCAATTTACCTTTTATGCTGTCATCACTCTACTTCCACCTACTTTCTATTTATTCATTTCAGCACTCAACACACATAACACTCTCTCTTTCTGTTCAAAATTTCCCTCTTTCTTTCTGTCTCACCTTGAGCAGTATGCTGATGGCAGAGGCCATGCCCACCATGCCGACACCCACCACCGTCACCTTGTTCCTGCTGCCAACAGGCTCCTCCTTCATTACATGGCCAATCAGCTTCTCCTTGGTGGACATCTGTGGAAAATAAAGAGATGGGATCAGGGCAAGGGATAGACAAAGACATGTGAGTGACATTGAGGCCAAGTGGAGAAAGCAATGGGAGGGTGGAGGGGGGATAGAAGTGTTAGGCAAGTGGGCAGGGATAAGGGGGAAGGGTGAGAGTTGAAAGAGCGAGGCAGTAAAGTAGTGCTGCATAATGTATGATCACTCATAGGCTCACACGAGGGGTGTACGTGACTACTTTCTAATCCGACAATGGCTGAGTCAAACTTGGATTTCTCATTTAATCTCAGTTGCAGAATTGAAAGTGTCCTTTTCATAACTTGTTTACCACTCTTTATCACGTGTACTTCCATAAATGGTTTGCAGACAGTAATTATTGCTTCACAACGCCTCTCTGGGTCTCCATGGCAACAACTGCCGGCTGCAGCCTGTCTGCCTGCAGCACTGACCATCCCCAGCTGACGTCACACACACACACACATCCCACTGTTAATGTTTCCTGGTTGGGCAGTGCTCACACTTGCAGGCGTTTACATCACCAGTATGACTAGGCTGGTTTTCCTGTGATGTGGAAACAAGCACGTAGTGGAGTACTTGACATGATTAACACACACTTATACTTTCCTTGAGTTGAGAGAATATAAATCCTCTCCATGGTGAGTTGGCATGGTAGGATATGGGAAGTTGGACAGACATACCCAACATCCCTTTATCCAATTATCTCTCACTCAGAGGTTAAAACCGAACTCTTACTAAATACCAGGACCTGGCCCTGGGGAGAGCTGGGTCTGGAGGACCCTCTGTTAGCTTAGAGTACAGGATTACAGTATATGTTCAATACTGGCCAGAGTTTCTTTATTTACTGCTGAAATATGCTGTAGAAACCAGCCATCTTTAAAGATAGCCTATGTATGTGATGGACACCAAAAAGGAAATGGCAGATAGCGCCCCCTCCTGGTTGGTTTAAATTACAATACAAAGCCCTATCACTCAATAGACTTACAACAAGTAGCTGTTGCACACAACTGGACAACTAAAACTGCTTTATGCATGCTTGTAATTTCACATTTCCCAGCACACAGTGGTATTTACTTAATTTGATCGCCAACAGGTCAGTGGGGGTTCACTGAGCTCTAATGCAGTGTCACGTATCACGGGTGAGGTGTTGTATCTGGTCTTTCACATTATTATTTTGCAGACTGAAGGCAACATGTTGTTTCTGCACTCCTGAATTATTTCACACTATGTGATCAGACAAAACATCGGTCTATCCTAACTTTCATTTGCCTTTAAAATTCCACATGCTATTTTTTTTCCCCACTGTGCATTCGTAATGTAATCACACAATCAACTGTAGTTGCCAACAGGACTCAACTGTCAACTATTTATCTTATTGTAACACTGTGCCAAGAATGGCATTAGTTTGATTAAGCAGAGGATTTAAGCCACAAAAAGTGTTACCGGAGATAATTTTTCAAAATATATTTTGACACGATCATAAAAGTGACATTCATGCACATCTGGCAAAGCACTGAAAAAGCACCAACACAACTCTCACTAAGACCTCCCTCCCAATGTTCCAGCATGTAGATGCAGTCACGACACATCCCGTGCTCAGTTTATTTGCAGGCTGCCGTCTGCATGATGGACGCCACAGGCAGTAGAGGGCACGCATGCGTAACACTGCCTATATTACAGCAATACAAATCATCTAATGCAATGAAAGAAACCGATTAAATCCACCAGCACTTTTGGCACAGGGTCATATTAACCGTTCCTGTTATCTGCAAAGCTTCATATCCCACAAGGAGCGAGTTGCCTGCCTGATTTTGTTGACTTACTCAGGTTTTGTTGATTTAGTCCCTTGATATTTGTGCCTCGTGGTTATATTGTTTTGGCTTATTTAATTATGTTTATATTGATTTACGAACGGGAGGGTTTTTTATTATAAAAAAAAATGAACGGATTCTCTCCGCCATTTTTGTGCATGACTTCCTTCCCGGTGTTGCTCTGTGCAACTTGATTCGGGTTTCATCAACAATAGGCCATACACACACATATACATATATATGTTTGTGATTTGTATATACGCCGGTGGAATCACAAACATCGTCTAGAATTCCAGCGATCCGCCCCGGCGTCAATCTCGCAGCCGTGTCAAGTGGACTCCTGCACTTCCAGGCCCACATCCTGTTGCTTCAGCTACTATTGTTTCGCAGCTTCATTACACATGCAAACTATTAAAAACGGATTCTTGGCGCAACCTCATTCACAACCAATCAACATTGTCGATATTATCAGCGACACGCCCCTCCCTGCATCCTCTGAAATGCTCATCGTGTCAGCGAAGGCCTCTTTTTACGTATTTTCATCAATGTACAAGCAAATGACTCCAAATAAATGATACTTCCGGAGAAACCTAAAGTGCACTGTCTGCTGATGTAGTCAGACGGGTTATCTTACCTTAGAGCTTCAGTTAAAAAGTGAAAACACGAGCTGGAATGTGTTTGCTCCTCCTGAGTGCAGCTGTTCCGCAGAAGTGGTACCGCGGAGGAGGCGTCTGTCCGTATTTAAAGACTGCCCCCCCTCCGTAGACAATACGTGCTTACATACTAATGAGGTCGGGCGGATCTGAGTCTGCAGAGCATGTTGCATGTCACGTACGATGAAGGATGCGGCAGTGACCGCGTCTTGTGTACCACCCCTTCTTTCTAATATTCAGGTTGCGTGTTTTGTTGCTGGCAGACCGTCACTTATATGTAGTTCAAGGATGGTGGGAAAGATTCTCGACTAAAAAGATGTCCTCGGAAGCCTGAATGAAAATTGGATGTCTCTTCTACCATCTACAATCTACAAATAGGCTCGCTTATTAATTTATGATTTCATTTAACACTTGGTATAATTCCGCTGTCACAACGGCTCAGTTGTCTGATACATGGGAGGCTATAACAGCGTAGTAACCCACGTGTGCGGATTTCCTAACATCAGTCCTAAATGACTCATGTTGGGGATGCAACTTGAATTTTGCATTTGTTCCTCGTGTCTAATGTCTGATGTTTAGTGCCCGTTTAGAGCCTACTAGAACAGTAATATAGGCCTACCGTTTTTAAATTGTATCTGCCCTGTGAAATGTGGCCGTTGATGTAATAATAACACACCAAGCTATGTTTTAGTTTTAAGGTAGCCTAATGTGATGGACTGATAAGGAAATGGCCATAGCGCCCCCTCCTGTATGGTTTCAGTTACAATGTAAGCCCTATTACTCAACCCACAGCAGTGTAACAAGTCATTTGTGTTACCTATCTGAAGAATGTTCTTGTTCTGATAGAGCTGGTTCGACTGACAAAAGACACAGGAGTTGCATATTAGTTACAACATAGCATTTCCATTTTTTTATTGTTCTTTATCAACTATTTGGCCAACACTGCAAAACATCTTGCTCTCAAGAGTATCCATTTCCAGATATACTGTAGGCTAACATTGGCTGTTGGATGTTCTTTGAGCAGCTCTATTCAGGGATATGTGAAGTTATGTAATTTTTATCCACTGTTTCAAAAAAAAAGTCTTTCACAGATGGGACTCTTTCTATTTGAGCAACATCATGCACTGAATGTCAGGTCATGATTCACAATTTCCTAGATGACAAAACACCAACATAAATTGATGGCAAAAGGGACAAAGCAAATTCCTAATAGTTAAATCAGCTCTTAGTTTAATGTTCATGATATTTAGACAGTAGGGACCGGCCATAGACAGTATATTACTGGACGAAGCCACCCCGCTGATTTAAGTGGAGAGAAGCGAATCCAGTTTTGGACCAAGGGGGTAAGACACAGTTGAAACAGTGAAGCCCACCAAAGCCTGCACGGACAGTGTGACATCCCGTCGCAAATGACAGATGTAACCGTATTGCTTGGATTATAAACTCTCAGTGAATTTAAAAAAACTATTCGGCCATCAGTGACGCTGCGTTGGTGTTTCACAGGTGATTCTCGTAGGTGGGCTGATTAAACAGTGACGAGCCGAGTCAGACAAACACACTGAGCCATGAAACTTTCTGTTGGCGCAGCTATGCAGCTACCAGGATTACGGTGTTTCTGCCGCTGTTCTACGTCATCAAACCGCGGTTATGCTTTGCGATCATGCGCAGTAGACGCTGGTGCCAACAGGAAGTAGCCTTGTAGTAGTATTTTATTGGTCCAAAACTGTCTTCACTGCTCTCCACTCAAATCAGCGGGGTGGCTTCGTCCAGTAATATACTGTCTATGGTGCAGGCTTTGGTCGGCTTCACCTTTTCAACTGTGTCTTACCCCCTTGGTTACATCCTTCCGCTATTATCTCTGTCAGGTGAGCAGACCAGCTGTCGGCACCAATAGGCTACATAAAGGCTACAGATCATATCTTCACCATCCAGGAACGTGGCATTATGACATGTAGAAACATCTCGAGGTTGCAACAGACATTATAGCATACCAGTATGTCAAAAGCAACAACAGTCACATGGTAGCCCACATAGCTATCATGCACAGAAACCCAGTGGCTCACTGCGCATGCGCATTGCCCTCCATCTCTACCGGTCTCTGTAGCTTTCCAGGTGACTGATTTATTGTGTGTTTTATTTATGAATGAGTGTTGTCTTCGATTTAGGCTTCTTTTAAATTACTGACATTACTCTAATCATTAGCTAGGCCTAAACGTTTCCGTGAGCGCAGTAATGTCACAGCAAATATCTTATATCACTGTGCATTTCAGCCCTAACAATACTCTACTCATTAATTTTGGTATTAACTTCTCATTCTCTTAATGTCTTGTCACAAGTCAGTTGTAGAAATATACATATTAACTGAGCTCCCAAACATTTTTTTTGATAATTATAGGCCAATATTCAGAGCATAAACCATAAGACCCTGTCATGGACATTACAATATCCTACTGTAAAATACATTTTCATTGCAATATTAAGATGCAAATTATATTTTCGGAAATGTATGATGTCCCTTTCCTGAACAGGGTTATTTGTTTGCTTTCAGACTATAAATTCATGAAATAGGCTATTTTATGCAACCATTTCTTTTTAAATAAACTCACAAAAATCACACATGTATTTTTTTTTGTTATTTGGGGAAAATATTTGGTATTTGGATGCAGTTTTTTATTTGCATTTTATTGGCCCTCCCCGAGCTATTAAACACAGTGGAATGTATATAGTTTGATTGAATTGTTTAAATTATTATTTTAAAATATCAAGATGACAGGGTAGACACATAAAACACAAAGCATGACAAAATATGATAATGAAACAGGGACAATGACGGTGTTGACATTTTGAGCTTCGGTTAGCATACAACAAAATATGACAAGCTAACGTTAGCTAGTCTGGTTGTTGAAGAGATTTTGATATAGTTAAACTTATATTTGAAACATCTTGTATGGTATTGTATAGTATTCTAATCACTTCCTGCATATTTTCTGCTGATATGATGGGCATGTTAATCTTTGGCAAAACATGTAAGCAAACTCATACAAAGTTAATTTGTCAATTGGAAAGTCACAAACTTGCTCTCCTCAGTAGTTGAATTTGCCACCACTGAAGAGAGAAAATCCCTGTCCTCATGTCACCGAAGAGGATGGCCTTTTCTTAAAGGAGGCGTCTGTATTAAAATATTAATATGAAGACAAAATTTTAAAAAATATTATGATTTGCCTATATATTAGGCTACACTCATTGAAATTGAATGAGCAGTGCATGGGCCATAGCAAAATAGTAGGCTATGCATCCTTGCATACAAAATCTAAGAGCCAATGAATTCTTTTTTTATGAACATAAAACTTAGCCCAATATAACCAACACTTCTATAGTGATGTTATGTTAAGTTAATACCCTACAGTGATGTTGACCCAGTAATAAACTTGACAGGATAGACGGAGGAAACAGAAATAAACTTTTAGCTTCTGAAATACACGTTTAGACAGCTCTGATGGAGCTCAGCATTTATCAGGGGAAGGTCTGCTTTACTCCAAAATAGTTTCATTTCATGATTCTGGACATAGGTGTCATTTACACTAGGGACGCTGTGGATATGTACTTACCACATTTTGAAATGGCTGATTTTTATCCTCATCACTTTTTGAAAGCAATTGTTAAAAATGTTCTGAAAAGTAGCAGCAAGAAATGTTAACTTTCGAATGAAAATGCTTTGAAAAAGGTTTATTTGTACAATAAGAAAACATGCAATGCAACAACTGTGCATTGTCCAAAAAAAGTAAGTTAAGCTAAAAAAACAAAACAAGCCGTCTGCATTATATTCTGTTATGTTTTTATAATTATGAATTGTCACCTGCCATCTTTTGTTTGCCTTTATTTAAATAAAGACACTTCCACCATAAATTGGTGCAGAAAATGTCTCCAGAATGCAGGAAATTAAGGATTTAATGCTCCAATTTTCTGGGGGAGGACCCACAGACCCCCACTCATGTATTTCAGCTTTTCATATTTCTTCAAAATAGTGTTAAAATCCTCACGTCTCGTGACCCAAGTGTATTATCACGCCCTTAATCTGAGCCCTTATGTCCCCACCACTTTTCACACACACTTTGTGTGTTAAATCACAGAACATTAATTAACATTAGATCCTGACCGACCGAACTGCACTTACGTTCCAATTGCATATACAACATTTCAGTTATATGTACCATCAAAAAGTAGACTTAGGTTTCCTTAAAAAAGTGGATGTCTCTTTACACAGATTTGAAGTTGGTCTCTTCAAAGGTTAATAGTTATAAGTGGTACAGAATCATGCTGCTGAAGTTTTAATTGGAGCAAGGATACGAGCACACAGGAGCTCTATTTGAAGTTTCTACTTTTGATTCCAGTTAATCTGAGCATATATTTTAAAATCAATATCTGTCTTTAAGTCATGCCCTTTCACCCATGTTTTATAAGGGCTGGCTGTGGCTCAAGAGGTAGAGCCAGTTGCCCACTAATTGGAAGCTTGGGGCTAGTTCAATCTCAAAACGTTTTGCACCGGTTTGCAATGTTTTCTGATTGAACGACATGTTTCCTTGCAACTTTGCACAACGTTCTGCAACGGGCTTCGAGGTATGTTTTCTCCCGTTTGGTGGGCGTGTCTTAGGTGTTATCCAGTCAGCTGCCACAAGTTTGTAAACACAACGGTGTTAGAAAGGCAAGAAAATGCAGTGCGCTTGCGTACACAGCAGGGTGAACTCGCCCTTGGTGTTTCAGTCACCAGCTCCTCCAGTCTGTGTGTTTAAGTGTCCTTAGGTAAGATACCCCACGTTGCTCCTGATGGCTGTGACTGATGCAACCGATAGACCAACTGCCGTCTGCATTTTGGCACTCAAAGTCTTTAATATAATCCCTCTCAATATGAAAACAGAAATATCAATTAAGATTTTTATCACTAGTTTAAACTCAACAAAGACTTTAAACCTGTTTTAAAAAAAAAATCATACTCAATAGTAGTATACATGACTCCCACTGTAGTAAGAGAACTTTGTACACATTTTCATTGGTGACAGTTTTGTAATGTTAGTTTCACTGTCAAGTTGTATTCACTTTTTGTTTTGAGAAAATGCAACAGCAGGAGTTTTTAAGCAAG